TCTACTTGGAGGACAATTGTTTCATGTTCGCCTTGGAGACTGGAAAAAGTAGAAGAGTGCCAATTTTAATCTAGAATCCTTTGAGAATTGGGGAAAGATAAAGTGATTATGGAATAAGGTTTTAAATTGCCACAAGTGAGCATTATTATTATTATCATGCCTTATAACTGAGTCCAGTGTGTTTAAAATTCTAACAACATATTTTACCAGATGAAGGCTTCCTGAGAAGTAGGAACTTACAAGTGCTAGTGAAGTCTGTGGTGGTAGGAAACGAGGCTGTTTTTTAACAGTGTGGTAGAAGAGATTGTGTAAATGCAAAAGGTTTCCTCATCTACCAGACCAGGACCTTGTATTTTACTTCTCGACTTTGGAGAGGGGGGTGCTTTAAAAATCTTCACAATTTGAATAACCAGCCTGTTCCAAAGAAATACTGTAGCTACTGTAATTATTGGCATGTATTTGCACTAAGTGGAGTTGTGGTTGGAATGGAACCTGTAGTTACCTTTTTTAATGAGAAAAAGCACATGTATAAAATCGGTGTATTGTAGGGACCGACATTTCTACTGCAGAACTTTTTTATTTGAATCTCCTGCGAGTACCGTTCTCTGTACTCACTTTTCCTCTCAGGAAAGAATGTGGGAGCAGATCCTCCAATCTTTTGCATATGTGCTTTTAAGTATGAAATGAAACAGTTACAGGAATCAGGTGGCCAAAATTAGTCTCCCTTTTTGAATATTGTTGGAAAATTGGGATCGCAGTTAAGCTATCATTTTCCATTAACAATGGCAGAGATTACCTTATTTTGCCGAAGTATCTGTTAGCTGAGCTGACTGCTAAAATTATCGAGCCTCACCAGTCTTTGTTACCGCCTCTCACCCCAGCATGGAAACTAATTTTTGATTCTTTTCAGTCATGTGCGGCAGTTTCCATCTGTTTCTGTGGTGTTGAGATTGTCTCTTCTGTCCTCCCTGCTGAGAATTCTGAAGGATTCTCCTGGGCCCTTTCATTTTCTCTCATCGGTTTTCTTTCCTATAGAGTTCTATTGGGAACCTGAGTTAATTTCTGGAGTGCATGATAAAAAAATGAATTTTATTTCTTTGTTGTCATAACAGAAGGCAAAAGCCTTTTATTCTTCATTCTTAAGAAATAACGACTTATCGTTCAATGTTGAGTGCATTGAGAAATTAAATTTTTTTCAGAGAAAATTAAGAGCATTAACTAAACTTTCTCAGCTGAGAGAATTAACTAAAATTGCTAAAAAGAACTAGAGACCATCTGTCTAGGAAAACCACTCCTATGTTTTTCCTCCACTCACACACACAATACTTCACTTCTGACACTCTGGTCACCCAATGTGTGGGATTTTTCCCCACATCAACTTGTTCTGCAACATCAGCTGAGTGTCCTACAATTCAGTTCAGTTCTGATTTTGTCTACCTAGAGTTAGCATCAGATCCCACAAGTTAAAGACTCAGTCCCACAAGACTGCCCCCACTTCAGAAACTAGTCACAAGGCTCACTCAGTCTGTCTCCAGTAATTCTGACTGACCCGCTAGAAATCAGGATTTTAATAACCCCCACCTTGGATCTGATAATTTGCTCGAAAGGCTCATAGAACTCAGGGAAACACAAACTTAGGTTTATCAGCTTATTATTTGATAAAGTATACAATGCAGGATACTGATGAACAGCCAGATGATGCGTACATAGAGTGAGATCCTGAGGTGTCTTGAGCCCAGGTGCTTCTGTCTCTGTGGAGCTGGGGTGCACCACCTTTCTGGCATGTAGATATGTTCATGCACCTGGAAACTCTCCAAACCCTGTATTTTGGGATTTTTATGGAGAGTTCATGTAGGCAATATGGGTTATTAACTCCATTTCCAACCCCTCTTGTCTCTCTGGAGAATGGGGGATGGAGGTGGGGGCGGGTAGAGCTGAAAGTTCCAAGCTACTAATCATAGCTATATCTTTATGGTGACCAGCCCCCATCTAGGGGCCCACCCAAAGTCACCTCATTAGAACAAAAGACGTTTTTATCCAGGAAATTCCACGGGACTTAGGAGCTTGGCGTCAGACACTCCTGTTACTCAGTAAATTATGGAGGTCCTAGGAGCTCCATGTCAGGAACTAGGGTCAAAGACTAAATATTAGAACAAAAGATTATTTGAACATTCCTATTTACAAGTATTTTAGGAGCTCTGTCAGGAATTGGGGGCAGAGACCAAAAAATATATACTTATTATTATTTCACATCATCAATCTTTTGAGAGAATATAATGGACTTTTAGTTAGAAAGTCATAGGATGAAAAAACAGTTTACACAGGAATGCAAAAGACTGTGTCCACCTGGGGAAGGTTGGTACACATCCACCAGTATGTGTTACTGCATGGCATTTGTTGCCTCTGAGACTGTACTTGTAGTCCATGGTCTGCATCTCAGCCTTTCAGACTCTGAGTCCTTGAGATGTCATATTGCTAAGGCTTGGACCCATGCTTCAGGATGGGACTTGCATTAAACTTAGTTTAAGAGTGATAGCTGAAGCTTGGATGCCCACTATGGCATCACATGGAGAATTTCAGTCTGCTAAACCAGAATACTTGTCTTTCTATGTTCAATATGTTTTCTTCCTATAGTGAAGTCACCTGGGAAGCAAAATCATAATCACCAAGTTCTTTAGTCATTTACGATGAGAAATGTAACTGTTAAGAGAATCTGGGGCACTGGTCTTTGCCTAATCAGAATGTTCTATCCTTGTTGTTAAACGTGAATGGGAAGCAAGACAGAATCATATGGTGTTGGTGGGAAAGAACTCAGAACTCTGGAAAGTAAAAGACTTGAATGCTTAATGATATCAAGCTATCTTAGTCTGGTGCATTCATTTCCAGGTAGATAGGATCTTCCACAGAAGTGGAAAACTTGATGTCTGTTGACTGCAGTCTTTTGTCCCTTGGGAAGTGCTAATGGTTACTGCTAATGCTTCCTAAAGTTATAGTATTATTGACTTAGAGCATTTAAATATTGAAATAACATTTATCTGCCAGTGTAGCTTCGATGGGCTCCAGTAAGCTATGGTCATATCTTTTCAGTCTCCTAATTATGACCACATCATAAGGAGATAGATATTAAGTGTTGGGGATGCTAATTTATGTTTCACAATTAAAAATGCTTTTACTATTACAGTAAACTCCTATTTCCTTGGCATATGTCAGGAATTTGGTTTTATGGTTAATTCAATATCCTAGATTTCAAAAAGCTATGCCTTTCATTCTTCGTTAGTTTATGTCAATTAAAATATAATGAAATGCATGTCGCATAAGCAACTGAAGATAATTTGTCTTAGGAAACTTTTTTTGAGTACTTTAAAATTATTATTATGTTGTAGCCACACAAATGCTCATTAATAGAAAGCTCTGATTAATGTCAAAATATGGGAAGTTTGGCTTATTTTTCAGAACTGATTCTATTATTTTTTAGAAATGAAGACCCTTATCCTTAAAGGGTAGGAAACTTTTTTCTCGTGTTTCTGTAGATCCAAAAACATTAAGAGTAGGTTTTTTTTTTTTTGGAGAAAGGTGATTATTAATGACAAGATATACGTGAATTAGAAGTAGCTTTTTAGTGCAAAGTCTTCAAAATTTTTAAATTTTTGAATGCACAAAATTCTTATAGGAAGTTATCCTTTTATTTCTTTGGAATTTTTTACTATTTTTCATTGTTCCTGTTTCGATTTTATTTATAAAATTAAAACTGAATCGAAAATGTCATATTTTTATTGCTTTTATTTTTCTCTTAGATATAGTAAGGCATTATCTTGGATTCTAACTCCATATTAACAACTTGATTATAATTTATTACCTAACTCTTTAGATAGTTGTACTCTTTTCTTTCTCCTAGAAGTTGTCCTTTTCAACGTCCAATGTATTCTGTAAGAGTTTTATTATATAATATAATTGGATTACTTGCGTTCTGCTTTATCACGTGCCTTTTCCTAGCCTTTTTGGTTTTTTTTCCTCTTTAACCACAACTGCGTTCTGTCTTGTAAAACCTCATTCCTCATTCTCACACACTACTATTGGAAGTGTAATCTGGAACAAACTTAACTTTACAAACCTTGGAAGCAACATAAATCTTCATAAAATTAATGGTATGGAGCCCCATGTAATGACACGGAAAGAGGTCCATGATACATTAAATGAAATAAGCTGAATATTTCATTACAAAAAAAAAAAAAGAAAGAAAACTCTGAAAGGATTAAACCTAAAGTTTACTAGTTTATCTTAGAGTGAGACTTACATGGGTAATTTTAATTTCAGTGAACTTTATGTTAACACTTAACAGAAATGTGCACAAATAATAAGTGTACAGCTTAATGAATTTTCACAAAGTGAAGATAGCCATGTAATCAGCCCCCAGATCAAGAAATAGAACATTATCAGAACCCAGACGCCCTTCCTTACACCCACAGGGATCACTGTCCACCCCATGACACGTGGGCACTTGCCTGACTTCTGACACCATAAGTTAAGGTTTCTGCATTTGAATCTTATATAAATGGAATCATACAGAATATACTCCTTTGCATCTGGTTTCTTTTGCTCATCTTGTGAGATCCATCTGTGTTGAGCGAATCAGTAATGCATTCACTCTTACTGTAGTACAGTATTCCATTGTATGAATACAGCACAGTCTATCTGTTCTACTGTTGATGGATACTTGAGTTGTTTCAGTTTCGGACTATTATCAACAGTTCTACTGCCGCGGACATTCTAATATGTCTCTCCAGCATGATCTCATCTTAACTAATGATGTTTGCAAGGACTTTATTTCCAAATAAGACCACTGTGTTAAGCGTGTCTTTTTATTCTGATGTTTTGACATCTGAGGCTTTACTGATGCTGTGAGCCTGCCCCTCCTAGGGCTAACCAATTCCTAGAGATAGGAAGCCTGAGGCTGCTTTCCATATGCCAGCTGACTAATCCAGAGTTCACTTTCTCTCCCCCATCCCGCTCTTTTGGGGTCTTATATTCCAGACCAGTATTCTCCTACCCTAATGACCTCAGGGTCAGGCACAGGACAGCTCAAGACAGCCCCTGTGTCCCAGAGCCTCCTGGGAGAATCAAAACAACCAACCCTAAGCCTACTTACTTTGCCTTGTAAGTTCCTTCACGGTAGTGTTTTTTGCCTTCATTCTCCCTTTGTTCCCTCTGCCTCTTGACCGGGCCTGGTGCTTCCCCGTGCAGCTCTGTGTGGCACAACATGCCTCCTTTCTCTAGAATCTGTGGGGATAAATTTCTTTATTCATGACAGTCGTTTCCATGTCTGTTTGTCTTACCATACCTGATTAAAACAAACCCTGGGTGTGTTTTAAACAATCACATTTTGAGATACTGGGGGTTAGAACGACATATGTTTTGGGAGATGCAATTCAGCAGGTAAGAGGGAACGCTTTATTTGTATTCCCTTGTGGGGCAGTCACCAGGCCGAGACCCCTTCAGAGAGGTGAGCGCACTTGAAGTACAGCATGCCAGAAGGAGAGGTGGTGACTGTTCTTCAGTGTCCACCGAGGGGCAGGCACAGATCACAGCCTCACCGAAATCACTTCAGGAGGGAGGCACAGAAGATTGCGAATAGAGGAGAGGGATTTTCTGTTCCTTCAAAAGGTGGCAAATTATGTTTAAATTCTGTTCGAAGATGTTGAACAGATGAGCTATTGTAATTGTTGATTTGTAGAAATATATTTGATTCTGAGTACTCCACTAACAATTTTTTTTTTCTTTTTTTTAAAGAAAGTGGAAGCCCAGAATCCCGTGTTAGTGCTATCCATTTCTTGGTACACAAACTGCCAGAAAAAAATAAAGAAATGCTGGATATTTTGGTGAAACACTTAACGAAGTAAGCTTCTTTTCCTTCCTAACTGTCTGTGTTTTGCTCTGGGTTTTGCTGTGGGTGTTGTGCCATGTTCTTGGATTTGTAATGGTTGAAGTTGGGGCTATACACACAATACCAGGGACCACACCTGGAAGGGCAGGCTGGACATCTGACTCATTGTGTATGTTTTGGACAAGACTATTGAAATATGATGCTTTCATGAAGTCATGTAATTATTTGCTTAACATCACAGCCAGCAACTTGAAGTTTGCCTTGAAGTAAAAGAGGATGATATACACTTCCCTGTACATAGATTCAGGAATGTGATTATAAGTCTGTTAGCGAATTTAACTTGGTTTCACACCTACCGAGCTCTAAGTTTGAACATGTCCTTTAAGCTTGTTTAATCAACTAATAGGTAGTTATTTCATAGGATCCATTCTATTTTTATTCCCTCTTTAAAAAGCAAGCAAAATCTAATAATTCAGTGGAGAAATTAGCTCTTTAGGGCTAATAAGTGACTCCTTGATCACTATAATTATGGAATTTCAGAGGTGAGAGGAAGCTGAGGAACACTATTTTTTAGAACCTTTATTTTACATTAAAAAATGGCCAGAGGATATGACTTGTCAAGGTTCCTACTACTAGTATAGCCATTCATTCATTTGGTCAACAAATATTTGTTGAATGCCTTTGTAGGTGCTGGTAGATACATAATTGAACAAGATAGACAAAGTCCTTACTTTTATGAAGTTTCTTCTATCTAAGGGAGGAAAGATAAACAGATTACAGATGTATACAATAATTTCAGGTGCTAAATGGTAAAAAGACGGAGTGAGGGGATAGAGACTAATGTCGGGTATGGGGCTGCAAAGAGGGTTAATCTCTTTGAGGATGAGACCTTTGAGCTGAGGCCTGAATTAAGTGGCAGGGCTGCCGAGAACTGGTGTCCAGGTAGTTCACTGAGCCCAAGGGGTGAGTGTGGCTGCTCTGACCAAACTCTGTGCGTGTGTGCAGTTATCTCTTCCAAGGCTAGTAGTCCTTGGAAGCAAGAGTATAATGATCTGGGGACAGGGGATGTTCTAAGTAGAGGAGAGCAGTAAATGAAAGCCTTTGAAAGATACAAGCTCAGCACATACATGGAATTATTAAGAAAGCTGTGTGGCTAGAGGCGAACATCAAAAGAGAGGGAAGCAGAAAGGTCGGCAGGCGCCTCCTCATGTGTGGCCCTGTCATCCCGTTATTTCCGAGGCAGACACTGAGGGCAGTTGGGTTTTGCTTTTTAGAGAAGTATGTAGTGTTGTAGAATACTATACAGTCCACGGTTTTGCGCATCTTTTAATCGGAGACCTTTATTTCCCCCTCATCAACATTAGTGTTTCAAACCACTCCAAGCAGAACCTAATGACCGTGGCCAATTTAGGAGTGGTGTTTGGACCAACTTTGATGAGGCCACAGGAAGAAACTGTTGCTGCCATTATGGATTTGAAGTTTCAGAACATTGTTGTGGAAATCTTAATTGAAAACCATGAAAAGGTAAGTCTGTTTTTGTTGCTTAAAGGAATCTCTGCCTTTGGCTTCTCACCTTGTGATGCATAATTATTTTCTTAGATTTTTCTTTTTTTTTAATTATTTTATCGTGATGATGAGTTTGGTTTTGAGAAATTTGCATCCATCTTCTACCTTCTGATGGAGGTCTGAGGTCTCCCTGCTCTTCTGTGATCTCTGGTTTAAGGAAGAAATGTTTAATCCAGATGCAAATGAATACCAGCTTATTTAAATGAATACCAGATTATTTAAAACGAATAATCTCTTAGGTGACATATCTTATTACTTGTTTGTTTCTCTGTAATTAAGGGGAATACGTGATTTTTCAAAATACGTTAGACTCCTTAAAGAACTGTTAAACTTATTCTTTTTACCCATTCTGTCAGTTATACTTCAGCACCTTGCTAATAATTTTTCCTCTAAGATAGGGAATTTGAAAATTGTTAAAATGTCTGGTTACTCGTTTGTTAATTAAAAGTTTTTTTTTTTAATTGAAATTATATAATATGCCAACAGTGTAGTAGGTGCTGGGTGTAAAGTGAACATTACAGCCCTTTATGGAAAGCAGGTCATAATGTAGGGGCTGGAAACCTGTTTGAGAGCTTGTATCCGATAGCATTGTCCCTGCCTAACATACTACATAATTTACTTATTTATTTTCTTAGTTGTTATTTATTTCTCCTTGCTAGATCCTTGACAGCAGAGACCTTTTTATACACTTACAATAATACCTGGTACATATTAAGTGTTTAGTTAATATTTATTGGCTGAATTAATGAACTCATAAATTTTGAGGGAATCCGAGGAGTGAGAGACAAACAGAGGTATAGTCCATTGGAACAGAGCTTTGCAAGAGCAATCGTTGGGTTCTTGTTGCATGTGCTATCTGCTAGAGCAATTCTAGCTTGTATTGGTTCCCACTGAAAAGCTTGAAACCTGGTCAGAGATTTTCTTTACCAATATAATGAAAGCTAATTATTTATGGGTATAGGAAGTTTGTGGGGCTTTTTGTTTTTGGTCGCTAATGGTAAAGTTGTGCCTTCTTTTATGGTCCTATCAAACTGTCATTAAACCTCATTAGTGTGCACTAAACTATTCAGACAGCTTCATGGAACGATGGCTACTATTCATTTTTCGAAAAAGAAATAATTAGACTACAAGCTTTAAAATGATGTTTAGTAGCACAACTATCATTAGATTAAATCCCAATTAGGGAACTCTTAACCAATTTGTGAAAATTCTGGCTCTGGGTCTTGCTTTTGGATAAAAGGATCTCCATTTAATGCTGCAGCTTCCTGTTTTCTTCTCTTATTTGAAGCTGGGAAGATAAGTACATCATTTTTTCTTCTGGGAAGTAGATAGTGCTGCTTTTACCTTGTTAACAAATCTTAGAGAAATTTCCAAGTGGCATTGGTGAGCCAATTATAATAGTTACAGCAGATGAAACTGGACTCGTTCTGAGATCAAGCTTTATAGAGCTAAGTAGAGAGAAGGCTTTCAGTTTACCTCTCTCTCTTTCTATGGCTAGGCTAGATAATGCTGCCAGCATACCACCGATATTACCTGAAGTACCAAGGTGTCCTACCTAGAAGGGAGGAGGTGAGAGACTGAGCTTTCAGATTCTTCACCGTGTGCATGGGTTCAGGTTTGGAAGCACAGGGATGCTTGGGGTTGGGGGAGGAGGGAGCTGTTAGCTTGGATTCGTTAATATTTCTGAGAGCTTATTTCCCCATTACCTCTTCTTTTCTCTATAATTTCATCCTTGTCTACTTTCACTCCCACTCCTAGCTCTTTGTTCCTACTTGGCTAGACTTCACTTGAGAGTATAGGCTCTGCTATGGGGAAGCATATTTCTGCTGACAAGGGTGGTTGTGCAGGAAAGCTTCATATGAATGTACCCACATGAGCTGCCGGTTTCCTTGACAACTGATCCACATACACCACCCAGAGATCTTACGTTGGACTTGAACGTGGCAAGGGATGGATAGAGTTCCTCTTAGGAAATGTTCAAGAATGAAAAGAAAAAGGATAGGATAGGTGATTGGTCTTGTGAACGAGGACAAAATTACAATACAAAAAGGAGAGGAAATGAAGAGGCCCCGGTAGTGTCTATGAAGGAGAACAGACAGAGAAGGGAAAATAACGATAGAAGAAAGGTGTTTCCTTTTCCTCTGTTACTTATTTTTCCTCCCTAGGAATGTGAAAAATGTTGACTCTGACTAGGAAAGTCCTAAAGCAGAGGAAGAAACTTTCAACATATAATTAAAGCAAGAAAGCTGTGGATTAATTTTGGAGTTAGAAAAAGACTTTTAGTTAATCTGCTTTGGAGATCACGTTTTATCCTAGCCTCTTTGCTGTTTTCATAAAATCCATATGTACTTTATAGGAAACCTAATCCATATGTTTTGGCTTCATTTCCACATAATACATTAAGATGTTGTTTTAAGAGAAGTGTTTGTGGGCCAAAAATATTATCAAGGTCTTTCTTCCCTTGAAAACCAGAAAATTGTATTTCGCAGGTGGAAAAGGGTACTGTGAAATTCCCAAGGATTTTCAAATTGAGGTTGTGCCTTAGAATTTATGGATTTGCGTAAGTTTTGTTCTCAAAGTATATGTGTTATGGATTAATTCAGCATAGTGCCCGCTGAGAGTCAGATGTGGTGTGAGATTTCAGGGACGTGAAGACAGTCCAGCAGGGGAAAGAAGCGCCTAACGGTAACTGCAGGAGATGGTGGAGGACGAGGGCTCGGAGAGACAAAGCTGCGGACTTCGGAGGACAGTACCGCCGACTGGGGGGGCTCTGGAAGGTGTCCTGAAGCGTGGTTTGAATAGGTTTTAGAATGGAGCTGGAACAGGGGTGAATATTGTAAGCGGACAATCAGGTCTGGGGGGATCATGCAATCAGAGAAACGCAGAGTAGGTGTGTGTTCTGTGAATGCAGCTCCCGCTGGAACCTGTGTGAGAGGCACCAGATGAGATCGGGCAGAGATTCGAGCCAGGCGTAGGGAGGTGGAGGATGCCACCCTAAAACTTCTGGATTTAATTTTATAGGTACCAGGGTCTTTCAGGGGTTTCAAGTAAACCAAAGCTGAATGTGGCAGCTGGGTTTGCTGTAGAAAGTAGAGGAGTGAAAAGATCAGGCGAGAGGTCATACGGCATAGATGAAGGGCCTGGTAGCGAGGACGGGGAGTTACAGGCCGGAGAGCATCACTTTGGGAGATGGGCAGATGAAATCCAGGGGCGAGATTTGTGGGACATCTCAGGGGAAGGTGTTATAAATAATGCTGAGAACTCAATCCTGGGAGAATGTTGGTGCCATTAATAATAGGACAAAAGAAAATGGGGCAGGAGTGAGATGAGTTTAGTTTATAAGATGCTGAATTTTAGTTGCGGTCTGATGTCCAGCAGACAGTTGGGGGCGTGGGGCTCAAACTTGTCGGAGAATTTAGTGGTAGAAAGTTTAATACAAGATAAAAAGGCATGAGATTGACATGAAGAAGTATTTATTGGATGCTCATTGTATTAATATGCTTTTGCTCCATCTCCGGCACTTATCTCATATAACTTAGTGTTTAGGTTTATGTATGTGTGTGTATATGTATACACACACACTTAAGATACATATTTCAAATAGATATATATATTAAAAATATATAAATTCTTCATTTCATGTAAATGCAATAGTATCCCTAGGTATGTACAAAATTCTGATTACATGTTATCCCTTTACACATACGAGAAAACTAAAGGATGAGAGATTAGCTTGCTCATGGGCACATAGCTAGTAAGTAGTCATGCCTGGGTTTAAACTAAGGCTTGTTCCATCCTAAAAGCTTTCCGTCACTAGGAGAAAGTAAGAACAATATCCTTGAGAAACACCGAGATTTTACTGTTAGTGATAAAAGAGGAGCCAGAAGAAACCCAGGCAAGTTCAGTGTCAGGGTTGTCGAAGGGTATTGTCCATGATGCCAGATGCGGTCACGAGATGGGAGAATATGAAGACTAGCAGATGGCATGTGTTCTCTCCAGGAGTAACAAAGAGTCTGTTGAGAGCAAGAGGTGAAATCAACTCATAAAGTCTTAAATGAGTGAGTGTTCAGGAATGAGCGATCGTCCATACAGATCTACTTTGTATTTTTTTTCCATATGACAGAGGAATATACAGGAGATGTGATAGGCAAGGGAAGAACATAGTAGGACCTGAGTTGTATACAGCTTGCAAATCACTCTTATATTCTAATGACCTGTTATGTGTCTCTTTCTCAGTGCCTGAGAGCCCTTGAAGATTCTAAAGACCATTAGAGAATCATCAAAGAAAACATTAATATCAGGGTCATTTTAATACTTGTCTTATTTTATGTTTAACAAGGTGATTTATATAAAGTAAGGTACATAATGTCCTTCTCAACCAAATCACTTTACATAATACATATCTTGTACGGATTTTAATTGGATTTTCTGTGTGATATGCCAAATGTGGGACTCTTGGTTGCTTTTAGCTTTGTGTGGTTTTCAGTTTACTCTGGTGTTCATTCATCGTCTGATGGTCAGTAGGTCATGAAGTTTTTTCTAGCTTTTATTATAGTTTCTGTGGACCAGAAGATGTCGAGAGACAACATATAATATTTACATAAAACTTTTCTTACATGAGGAGTCTAGTAATTGTCAAAATAAGTATTTTAGCCTTTGAAATGGTTGTTTGGTGGTCTGTTTTTTTCTGGTGTGAAAATGGAAGCAATTGGAGATGATCATGCTTTGTGGAGAAGGCCGATGTCATATTCCTGCTCCCAGATTTCTTCAGTACACTTTGATTTTTCCCTCTTTGTAACATGTTGCCAAGTCCTTGAATAGGCAGTGTCCCCCCCATCATAGAAGAACCTATAACGAGTAAAGGCGGGAAGGGCACATACGTTTCCCAACAGGCGCCCAGTGTAGTCACCAGAATATTAAATTGCAGGCCATCGCATTATTCTTGTCAACTTTGGGAC